CCAGAACCTGGGTCTGGGCTCCCCACCCCCCAAGATGGACCTGACAGAGGGGTCCTGATTTCTGTACCCACAAGCTCTGTTTAGACTGTGTTCCTGTCGGCTAATAAACCTTCTGTGTTACTGGCCAGCTGAGAGTCCCGGTGCATCGGAGGAGTTGGGGGTGCAGGGCCCTGACTCCCCCACACTCCATGACAACCCACTCCCCTCCCAGAGCCAGGGATAGAACCCAGGAGTCCTGACTCCCAGCCCCCCCCCCCCTGCACACAGACTGTAACCTCGCATGGGGGGGTTACCTTGCAGAAGGCGCAGTATTGGCACACGGAGCCCGGCTGGTAGCCATCCTCTTCCTCCTCCTCCTCCTCTTCATCTTCCTCCCCCTCTGAAAAGACAGACACAGCTACTGCTCGGACACCTGAGTTCCATCCCTGGCCCGGGAAGGGGAGTGGGGTCTGGTGGATTACAGCAGGGGGGTCTGGGAGCCAGGACTCCTGGGTTCTCTCCCCCTCTCTTTCTCCCCACAGCACAGCAGCCGTGGGTCTGGCACATTGGCCTTGGCAGGCGTGTCCCAGGACCGACCCCCTTACCCTGGGCAAACACCCCCCTCCACTCCGGCAGGCCCCCAGCCTTGAGGTGATCAACTGCCTGGGCCCCCTACTATGCTCCCTCAAGCCCCCGAGTCTCTCCTTCCCCTCCCAATGCCCTTCTGTACTGCCGCTGGATGATCCCAGCCCTCCTCCCCCCAGGTGCAGGGGCTGCGCTCACCATCATCTTCCTCCCCCTGGCGCGCCCTGCCCCGTCTCTCCTCCTCCCTGTGGGGCTTTCTCAGGACCCTCTCCTCTGACTCGTCCCCTTCCTCCTCGGACTCGTCCCCTTCCTCCTCAGACTCGTCCGACTCCTCGCTCTGCCCGGGACGGCCATCCTCGTCTTCCTCCTCCTCGGGCTGGGGGCGCCCACGGGCCTCGTCCTCATCCTCCTCAGCATCATGGCGATGGCGCCTGGGGGCATCTTCTTCCTCGTCGGCATGGCGATGGCGCCTGGGGGCATCTTCTTCCTCGTCGGCGTGGCGACGGGGCCCGGGGGCATCTTCTGCCTCATGGGGCTGCTTCTCCTCATCGCCGTGGTGATGGTGGCCGTCGCTGTGGAAATGGGGCTGCCCCTGGGGCTCTATGTCGCCGTGGCGATGGTGGTGGCCAGGGGCCTTGGGAGGCGGCTGCCCCTCGGCCTGCTGGGGGAGCGCCATGTCGCCGTGGCGACCATGGGGCTGCTCCTCCTCGCCGTGGTGATGTGGGTGCCCCTGGGGCTCCCCGTCGCTGGGGCCAGGGTCATCAGGTCGATGCGGCAGCCCCTGGGCCTGCTGGGGGGGTTCCACGTCACCGTGGCGATGGTGGCCGGGGCTAGGGTCGTCGTGGTGATGCAGCAGCCCCTGGGCCTGCTGGGGGGGTTCCACGTCACCGTGGCGATGGTGGCCGGGGCTAGGGTCGTCGTGGTGATGCGGCTGCCCCTGGGCCTGCTGGTGAGGTTCCACGTCGCTGTGGTGATGGTCGCCGTGAGCCCCGGGGGGCTGCAGGACGCAGAGCAGGCCGAGCAGGAGCCAGGCCATGGGGGGGGCCATGGGGGCGCAGGACAGAGCCGAGCAGTGGTGGAGCCGCGGATGCCCCGGGCTCCTCTGAGTGACAGCCCCAGCTGCCCGGCTTCTCCCCCCACCCCCCCAGCCAATGGCGGCCTGGCCCGGCCCCCGTGGGCCCCTCGCTGCCCTTATACAAGACGCCCCCCCTCCCTCCGAACAGGCTATAAATAGCCCCCCCACGGCAGCTGGGTCACCTAGCTCGGGCTATCGGTCCTGTAGTGGGGGCAGGGCTGGGAGCCAGGACGCCTGGGTTCTCTTCCCTCGCTCTCCGTGACCTGAGGGGTGGAGGGGGTGAACGGGGGCTGCAGCGTTCGGGGCAGGAATGCGCTGATGGGACCCGAGGAGGACAGCAAGTGGGGGCGGGGAGAGCGTGTCTATAAATACCCGGCGGCCGGGCGGGGGGCCAAGTCGGGTGTCACATTCCCAGCCACGGGCATCCATCCAGGGAGCTGGGCCAGCCGGGCACTGAATGCCCCATGCATGACCCCCCCTTCTCTCCCAGCCCCCCCCCAACCACTAGCCCCCACTCTCCTCCCAGAGCCAGGGAGAGAACCCAGGAGTCCTGGCTCCCAGCCCCTCCCGCTGTAACCACTAGCCCTCACTCTCCTCCCAGAGCCAGGGAGAGAACCCAGGAGTCCTGGCTCCCAGCCCCCCCGCCCCCAATCTGCTGTAACCACTAGACCCCACTCCCCTTCCGAGCCAGGGCAGAACCCAGGAGTCCCAGTCGCTCTGTTATGAAGCTCCTATGCAGGAGACACAGCTGCTGGGGTGAGGAGACTTTAGGGGCCCCCATAGGCAGCCCCCCCATAAATGCAATGCCCTGGGGGGGAGGGGCCCAGCTTTGAGGGGACACACAAATGCAAACCACCCTCACGCTCGGGGGGGAGGCAAACAGCGGTTTGGTGCCTGGGAGAGTGTGGGGGGGGCGGGAGGGGGGCTTCTGATTCCCCCTGGGGGGGGCTTGGCTCAGAGACTTCACCCCCCCACACGGCCGGTTCCCTCCCTGCCCCTCCCAGGCTGGATAAAGGGTGTGGTGTGGATACATCTGCTGTTTGCTCAGGGCGTCCTGGCTGTGAACTCTGCTCCAGGGTGGGGCCCCCCTCCAAGGTGGCCTGAGCCGGCCCTGCCCCAGTGCAAGGTGGGGGGGGGCCCTCCAGATTGAACAACCCCCCCTCCCCTCCCCCAGGGAGCTGAGATCAGAATCCAGTCCTGACTCCATTGCAAACAAGAGTGACTCCAGATTGACCCCAGGCACTGAGAGCAAAATCTGGCCCTGACCCCATTGCAAACAGGAGTGTCTCCGGATTGACCCCGGATGTGGAGAGCGGAATCCAGCCCTGACCCCATTGCAAAGAGGCATGACTCTGGATTGACCCCAGGTGCTGAGATCAGAATCCAGTCCTGACCCCATTGCAAACAGGAGTGACTCCTGATTGACCCCGGTGGAGCTGAGATCAGAACCTCGCCCTGACACTGCTGTAGTCAGCGGTGACTCCAGATTGACTGGGGGTGGCCTGGCAGCAGGCCATCCCCTCCACACACATGTGGGTGTCTCGGAGCCGGTCGGTCTGGTTTCTGGCTGGGTGGGGCCACGGCGCCGGAGAGGGTTGGACTCCCCTTTGCCAGGTGAGACGCCGGGTTCCCAGGGCTCCAGGGCCCTGCTCAGCCAGACGCTGCGGGCACCGGGTCCGACGGCCCCAGCCTAGCCTGGCACCATGGGCAGCGTCAAACAGCGAGATCAGGTACGGGGCCCCCTGCCCCAGGGCTGGGACGGGCACCAGCCGGGGGGGGGGCGGGCAGCATAGGGCATCCAGGCTCCGAGCTTCCTGGGGGTAGGGTGCACTTGTGGGGGAAGGAGACAGCCCCCTTTCTCCAGGGGTGGGGGGTTCTGAGGGGGTTGGGGGGTTCTGAGGGTCCCCTCTCCAGGGTGGGGGGGCTCTGGGGGTTAGGGGAGCTCTGGAGGTTGGGAGGCTCTGAGAGTCCACTCTCTGGGGTGTGGGGGAGCTCTGAGTGGTCCCTCTCTAGGGAGGCTCTGGGGGGGCTCTGAGGATCCCCTCTCCAGGATTGGGGGGGCTCTGGGGATTGGGACTTGGGGGGGGTTCCCCTTTCTCAGACCCTGACCTGGCTCCTACCACCCCCACCCCCACTCCAGGCCTGGATCCCCAAACGCTTCAAGAAGAAAACCTGCACGACCTACATTGAGGATCCACAGGACGCGGGGTGAGTGGGGTCCCCCCCCATCGGGGATGCCCTGAGGCTGCTCCCCCAGTGCCCCATGAGGGGCCGCTCCCCCCCCGCACCCCAGGTATTATTGCCATGTGCAGGCCGGGGTGTCTCATCACAGGTAGCAGCCCCCCCTGTGACCCCTCTGTCCCACAGTGACCCCCTGCTCCCCCCAGTGTCCCAGTGACCCTGTCCCTTGCCCCCTGCACCCCCTCTTCCAGTGCCACCCCTCAGCCCCCCCATGACCCCCATCTCCTCCCCAGCGCCCCCCCTCAGTGCCAGTGCGGGAGCCCCCGGGCCGAGCACGTCTCTGTGGCCGTGGAAGACGCCTTCGGCACAGCCATCGTCAGCAAATGGGACTCGGCCCAGCACACCACGGAGGGGCCCACGGACGCCTTCGGGGAGCTGGAGTTCGTGGGGGCTGGTGGCAAACCCAGCAAGGTGAGGGGCTGCGGGTCGGGAGTGAGGGGCACCGGCAGGGCTGGGGGCTGCGGGTCGGGAGTGAGGGGCATTGGTGGAGCTGAGGGGGGAGCCCAGGGCTGGGCTAGCAGGGGGCTGCGGGTCGGGAGTGAGGGGCATTGGTGGAGCTGGGGGGTGGGAGGGGCTGGCCAGGGGTTGTGTGTGTCGGGAGTGAGGGGCACCACCTGACCTGTTCCTCACTGCCCCCGGCCAGTTCATCCGCCTGTCGGACTCCTCGGACCCTGAGCTCGCCTACAACCTGGTGACCGAACACTGGAAAATCTCCCCTCCCAACCTGGTGGTGTCGGTCGTCGGGGGTGACGGGGAGGCCCCCGTCCGGGCCTGGCTCCGGGACCTGCTGCGTAAGGGGCTGGTGAAGGCGGCACAAAGCACAGGTGGGCCCCCCTCCCTCTCCTGGGCTGAGCAGCGGTGGAAAGTTGCGTGTGCAATGCACTCGCGTGTGCAAATGCTGGCACGCTCTGTGCAAATGCCTCCATGCTCCGTGCAAACATCAGCACGCTCCATGCAAATGCTGCTGCACTTCGTGCAAACACTGCCATACTCCGTGAAAACGCCAGTGCACTGCGTGAAAATGCCGCCATGCTCCATGCAAACACCAGCATGCTCCGTGCAAATGCTGCTGCGCTTTGTGCAAACACTGCCATGCTCCGTGCAAACACCGGTGTGCTCCGTGCAAATGCTGGTGCGCTCTGTGCTCTCACACGTGTGGGTGCAAAAGGACATGCCCTGGCCCACTCGCGTGGAAGCCCTGCCCCGTGCACATGTCCCAAGGCAGCTGCACCGGTGAATGCGCTGGTGCCCGGACTCGGCGCTGACACCCACACACACATCCATGCTCGGCGGCCGAGTGCGACGTTGCACCCCCAGGTGTGGCCACGGGCCGGCACGCACACGCCCCCAGGCCTGAGGGCTGGGTCAAGTCTGTGCCTGTGTCCCATTCAGGCTCTGGGTGTGACACGGGGGGGAGGGGAGATGGGGGTATGGGGGGCTGGGGGGGCCCTGTGAGGGGCGTGTTACACTCTCAGCCTGTGCCACGGTCCCTGCCCCCCCCTCAGGTGCATGGATCATGACCGGGGGGCTGCAGGCCGGGATTGGGCGATACGTCGGGGAGGCCGTCCGGGACCACGCCACGGCCAGTACCAGCCCCTGCGCCCGCGTGGTGGCCATGGGCATCGCGCCCTGGGGCATCGTCGCCAACCGCGAGGCCCTCGTCAACCCCAAGGTACGGGCGGGGAGGGGTGTCTCTCTGGAGGCAGCGCATGGGCCGCTGGGGGCTCTCCTGGGGGGCCTGGGTGGGGCGCCAGCCTGGGTACCAGGGAGGGGTCTCTGTGGGGGCTGGGCTGGGGGCTGGAGGGTCTCTGGGGGGGGTGGGGTTGGGTGCTGGGGTGTGTCTCAGGGCGGGGTCCGGCCGGTCACCAGGCTCACCCGCTCTCCCCCTCCAGGGCTCGTTCCCTGCCCGCTATGCCCGGGTCCCCGCCGCGGGCACCGCCCGCCCCTTGGACAATAACCACTCGCTCTTCTTCCTGGTGGACGACGGCTCCCGGGGGCGCCCGGGGGGCGAGAGCCGCTTCCGCGCCCACCTGGAGAAACACATTGCCCAGCAGAGGGTGGGCGCTGGTGGTGAGTACCCCGGCCCAGTTATCCCCGGCCTGGTTACCCCGGTTACCCTCACCTGGTTACCCTGGGCCCAGTTACCACAGTCACACACCCCCAGCCTGGTTACCCCGGTCAAACACCCCTGGCCTGGTTATCCTGCCACACCCCCGGCTTACCCCCTAGGTTATCCCCTAGCCAGGTTACCATGGTTACCCCGTTTCACACAGTGTGGGGGAGTCAGGGCCCTGCACCCCCCATTTCCTGCGATTCACCAGGACTCTCAGCCAGCCGGTAACACAGAAGGTTTATTAGCCAACAGGAACACAGCCCAAAACAGAGCTTTTGGGTACAGACAACAGGACCCCTCAGTCAGGTCCATCTTGGGGGGGAGGCAGGGAGCTTAGACCCCAAACTTGGGGGCTCTCTCCTCTTCCCCAGCCCACTCAAAACTAAAACCCCCTCCAGCCGTCTCCTCCAGCCTCCCTCCGGCTCCTCCCCCAGCCTTTGTCCAGTTTCCCGGGCAAAGGTGTCACCTGGCCCCAACCCCCCTCCTGGCTCAGGTTACAGGCTCAGGTATCGCCCCTCAAGTGAAGTCACCCCCTGCTATCCCATCCCCCAATGCAGACAGTCCCAGTACAACTCCCCTGCGACATCCCCAGGTCAATCCGCCCCACTCCCTGCTCTGTCACACCCCGCAGCCCGGTTACCCCGGTCACACCCCCCAGGCCGGTTACCATTGTCACACACCCCCACCCCAGTT